ATTTAGGTATTAAGGGATAAATTAGATTAAATTAATTCAATAATAATATATTATTAAATTTGGATGAAGTTATAACGATATGGTAATAATAACGTAGTTTGACAGTTTACATTTTTAGACTTAATGATGTCACAGACTTTAGCTTACAACAAATTGAGTTTTTAGAGATTAAATTTATAAGTTCTAAAGAGCATTACAATGTGGCCTGCAAAATCCATCAATTAAACTCCACCAATACTAAAACTTCTATGAGCAGCATAATCTACAAAGCTGTAGAGGGGTTCTGCTCTCTCACCATACTTCTCAAAACTATCCAACTCCCTCTTAGCCTGTGCTTTGAGATCCTCAGCCACCTCCATAGCCTTCTCCACCCCATACTTCGCCACATAACTCTTACCCTTTTTCTTCTCTTCTCGTCTTTGTCCTCGCTCTTCAATTTCGCCTCCAACACATCATTAACCACTTGATACAATACTCCAACCGCTCGTCCATACCTTCTTAGCCGCGGAATCTCATCATCCGTAGCACCAGCTAATAGGCCTCCGCAAACAGCTGAGCACTCACCCATTTCACCATATTTTTTTTCTTGGACGAATTCAACTGCGTTGGGCCCACCCTCAAGGTCAACAAACTGACCAGCAGCCATGCCAGTGGACCCCACGGCTCGGGCGATCTCAGCAACAACACGAAGAAGTTGAGTCTCAGGTACAAGGTCCGAAGAGGTATGGGAGACAATGTGACGGAAGCCGAGTGGGAACAAAGCATCACCAGCAAGGATTGCCATGTCAACCCCAAAGATTGTGTGGTTTGAAGGTTGGCCTCTTCGGAATGGATCATTGTCCATGCTTGGCAAGTCATCATGTATCAGTGAAGCAGCATGCACCTATCAAAATACACAGATGGGGAGTAAGAGATCATTATTCAGAATTCCAGGTGCATCATTTAGTGTGGAACTGGAACATCATGCAGAGTCGAGCAAATTTGAACGATTTGTGTTATTCAAAAGCCTAGTAAACACATACCCAAAATGGATAAAAATAAGATTAACCCTGATGGTGTATTTCAACGTGATGTAATTTTGTGATGACAAGTAAATGAAATAAACAATATTGAAATTATTGAGATCTGAGCTATTAGACTCGAGAAAATGATACTGAGAATTGTTGGAGAGTTGGAGAATTAACACAGTAGAAATATAGTGGTTCACCAGCTCAGGAGCTCGGCTAATCCACTCTTCAATGGAGATTTTTGATTCTTCTTTCACTATTTACTATACCAAAAGGTTTACAGAATGTAAGATGTGATACTACGATTTTTATTGATAAATAGCTATCTCTTTATTACTTCCGTTGCTGATTCGATTGGGTTGGGTTTTACTTTGATTTTATGAGCTCTATGCGTTTGACCTTCGCTCTCGAGCTCATACTTGAGAATTGTTCTAAGTATCATCAGTTGCCCCCCAGCTCTTGGTCAAGCTGGCCTGGGCAAGGACTGAGCTTAAGATGTAGCAGAATGGTTTCCCAATCAGCGACTTCGAAGTTTGCACGGGAATTTTTTTTTTTGCATGTAGGTGCTCCTAACCTGAATCCGCTTGAATTGATGAGGATAGAACAAATGACCCAAGCTGAGCCCATGTCTTTTCTGGATCTCATGACGCCAGATAATCTATTCTTGTTTAGTGCCGCTGCAGTTGAGCGGGATTTTTCATTTTTTTATGAATCTGATCTCTCTTCTACCGGGTTTGATGCGAGCGAGGATGCTGAAACTTATATCAAGAAACGCAAGAGGGATGATCCATCCTTTCTTTCATCCAGATCTTTCCTGGGAAAAGTTCTGTTTTCCTCTGCTGGACAAAAATTGATGGATCTACTGTCAGTGACTGAGAAGGAGAGGGATGAGCTGAAAGAGGAGAACCTACGTTTGAAAGAAAGGATAGCCGAGCTGTAGAGATGACTAGGAATTTTGCTTTGATTGGTTAATTTGCAATCTTTGATGTTCTTGAAACCTTATTTTTCCCTTTCCATGTTTGTCGCTTCTTATACACAATTTGTGGCTTTGAGAATTTGGCAACTGATCTTTCATGTCGTTTCCTGGCTTGTGGACCAAAGGCCCCTATTTTTCCTTTTTGTAATGGATAGAAGCTGTGAAGCTTTCTTTCTAGTCTACATGCTGCAGGTCTTGCTTTTATTTTTTCTGGACCGGGAAGCGCATTCTGAGTTTCAGGGCTCTTTTTATAAATTAATGAGTTCATCGTGAGCTCTAAGGCTCTTATTACGGACTAATGAGTTCGTTGTGAGCTCCCGAGCTCTTTTTATGAACTAACGAGTTCATCGTGAGCTCTTGGGCTCTTTTTATGAACTAACGAGTTCATCATGAGCTCTAAGACTCTTATTATGGACTAACGAGTTCATCGTGAGCTCTAAGGCTCTTTTTATGAACTAACGAGTTCATCGTGAGCTCTAAGACTCTTATTAGGGACTAATGAGTTCGTCGTGAGCTCTCGGGCTCTTTTTATGAACTAACGAGTTCATCGTGAGCTCTAAGACTTTTATTTACGGACTAATGAGTTCGTCGTGAGCTCCCAGGCTCTTTGTAAGAGTGAATGAACCATAGACTTGTTGTTTTATTAATAATCATATTACACGATAAACTTACTAAAAATTTTTTCTAAGATGTTCTGCATTCTAGGAGTGGGGTAAAATTTTCGCCGGATCTGCTTTCATCCGAGGTGCCCACCTCAGGAGTTTTTCATTTTGTACCTCTTACAAGATTTGCGATATTGTTACGGTGAGTGGAGGGACCTGCCGCGGTGCGTACCTCAACTGTAACTCTGGATGAGGTGGTTCCAAGCGATCTCTGACGTCTCCCCTTCTTTTGGGGGATCGATCTTTGTCTCTCCTTGGGGACCTATCTCGTCCTCTTTCTCTTCTAGGACTTCGGTCCCTCTTTTTCTCTTCTTTCCCTTTGTTTTTTTGTATGGATGAGCTCCCCACTTTTGAGAGGAGAGTTTCTTCGCCGTTTATGTACTTTTTTGCCTTGGCCAGTACTTCGGCCATGCTGGCCTGGGGATTTTTCAAAATTGAGAACATCAGGTCTTTAGACTGTACGCTTAAACCAACTATGAATGCAGTAAATGACAATTTTCTCGTCTGAAACATCCACTTTTAGTGATTCAAAGTTGAACCTCTGAACATAGGATCTAAGGTTCTCTTGGGGTCCCTACTTCACATTCAACAGGTGGTAACTCGATTTTCTGTACGTTTGAGCTCCTATGAAGTGAGATACAAAGGATATGGATAACTCCTTAAAAGAGGAAATTGAGGTAAGGGGAGCCTATTGAACTACGTCAGGGCTAAGCCTTTCAGCGTGATGTCAAAGGCTCTGCAACGCACTAGATCCTGGTATCCATGCAACTCCATCTGGTTCTTGTAAGTGTTGAGGTGATCTACGGGATCCTTTGTTCCATTAAAACCTCTATATGCAGTACTCTGAATTTCAGAGGGAAGGAAAAATGCGGCACGCCAGTGGTGAACAGAGATTCAGTATGTTGTACCAAGACATCCATCGTAACTAGAGCCTTACCTCTCACGGCTTCCTTCATGTGGCTGAGTTCTTGCTGGATACCCTGGAAGCGCTGCTCCCAGTACCGTTATCTCCTTTCTTGTTGATAGGAGAAAAAATCGTTCCTCTCGTCCCCGTCATCCTGACTTTGTACTTCTTCATTGTGTCCATTCTTGGGAGGTATGCGAGGTTCTGGCCCCATGGTTTGACTGTTTTTCCCTTCTTCGTTGACTTCCCTAAGGGGGTCGAGGTGTGGTTGCTCCCTAGATGGTGGGTTGTTCCGACCTTCTTGAGCCTGTCGCGCCTCTTGTGGGCGTTGTAAGAGCTTTAAGAGTTCTTCGTTTTGTTTCAACAAGCGTTGATTGACGAGACGAAATGCCTCTATCTCGTTATTCATGGGGAGACCCCCCACGGGTGGATTGGTCTTTTGAACGTTCTCAGGTTGTCTGCTATTAGTAGCTTCTTGTTGATCTTGCATCCGTGGTAGATTTGTCTGATTTCGGCTCATGTTTCGCGTTGATACCATCAGTCACTGAAAGATCAGTTTATTTATAATAGGAACAGTCGTTTCCCACAGACGGCGCCAAATTGATGGTGTATTTCAACGTGATGCAATTTTGTGATGACGAGTAAATAAAAGAAACAATATTGAAATTATTGGGATTTGAGCTACTAGACTCAAGAGAATTATACTGAGAATTGTTGGGGAGTTGGGGAATTAACACAATAGAAATATAGTGGTTCATCAGCTTGAGAGCTCGGCTAATCCACTCTTTAATAGAGATTTTTGCTCCTTCTTTCACTATTTACTATACCTAAAGATTTACAGAATGTAAGATGTGATATTAGGATTTTTGTTGATAAATACCTATCTCTTTATTACTTCTGCTGCTGCTTCATTGGGCTGGATTTTACTCTGGTTTTATGAGCTCTGTGCGTCTGACCTCCGCTCCCGAGCTCATACTTGAGAATTGCTCTAAGTATCATCAAACTCCTTAATTCCGCATACCAAATTCCAAGTCATGACTTCCTTTCTCTGCACCATTACTGTATTCAGAGATTCATATCAGGTGCAGTGTAGTGTTGCACAAATTTGAGAAGTAGACTAGAGACATCATAAATTATGTTTGTTGTCTGAGTGGCACGTAACTCTAACTGTAACATGTTTGTATTCTTTTGGTTAGTTTTCCAATGCCCATGAGCATTTTTAAGAGACGAGTTAAAGTACACAAAAATTTTAAAATTTAATTATTTTATTCTAAAGTTTTACTCCAATAGAACATCTAAAATAGTATTTTACTAGAGTGACACTCTAAATAAAATAATATGTATAATAAGTATTTTATAATATTTTGTCTCTCCTCTTTTCCTTTCCTCCATTCTCTCTCTATTTCCCTCTTACTATTCCTAAAGAAAAATAATACAAAAAGAATGAAAAATATATATAAAGAAAGTAGTTAAAAAAATTATAAGAGTGCGTATTAAAAAAGTGAATAGCTAAAGTAGAAAATATTATAGCTAAACTAATTTTTATTGTTGAAGATGCTCTAAGCAATTTGATTCCCGAATCCTTTCCAAATTTTGTAGTAGAAGGAAAATAGAAATGGGATGAAAGAAAAAGATCTGAATCATTCTAAGTTTGATGCCTCGTGATAAGTATCAACCGTGTGGTGCCTATTCTTCATTTTCCCCTGTTTTTGGTTGCTTATGGCCGGCCCTGTTCTACATGTCCAAATTATTGGATGCATTGGATTCGCTTACACTTTTTGCAAAAAAACAATTTACACCGTCTCTTCAATTCTCTTCTTATCACATCATCTATTATGCATTTAAATGAAATTTATTGTATATAAACGAGTATTTTTACTCATTAATGGTGGACAATATGTCAAAAAAAGAATCAAAGAAAAAGTGTTGCGAGAGGATCTCACTCCCAATGTATTGAGACTTTTTCTTCTAGCATCATGCTGCTTTAGTATATTGTTTGGCATCTGTCATCTGTAAGATATTCTTTCTTTGCCATGAAATTGAGAACAAAGATCAACTTCATCTAAGCCATAACTTAGAAGTTTGCTATCGTCTTCCAATCAAAAAATTTCATTAATTATTCTTAGGACAGATTCTGAAATATTAATATCATTCATTGGTCATGTCCTAAATATATTACCTTATTTTTTGGGTAAGTTAATAAAAAAATTTATATTTTTGACCTCATGTTTTATTATTGTGTCACAGATTCTACAACTCAACATCAACCGAGAATCCGAACCCATTTAATTTTTGCTAATTCAAATAAAAAAATACCAAATATCTATAAAATAAAACATGATGAACTCAACATCAACCGAGAATCCGAACCCATTTAATTTGTGCTAATTCAAATAAAAAAATACCAAATATGTATAAAATAAAACATGATGAAATAATTTAGGGTTAATCGTATTAGAGGTCTCTAATATTTTAAATTAGGTACCTCTTGAACAAATTTTTATTCAATTTTTTTTCCAAATTTGGGTAGCCAAATTAATTTTTTTTTTCAAAGATCTTATGTTGAAGAATCACATAAAAATATATGCAATAATTTAAAGACTAAAATAATATACTTGAAATATTAAAGATCAAAATGAAATAAATTTTATACTTTATGTAACTTCACTGTAATTAATCCAATATTTAATGGAAGTAAACATCGGGTTTAGATGGATAAAAAGGTCAAATACATTAAGAAGTGAACGAACCATTTCGAGGGCGCAGGCGGTGGGGAAGGCGGCGAGGCGGTCGCCACCAAAGAGTTCGCAGGCGGCGACGCACATGACCGGCGGGGCCCTTTTGGCACCTTTAGCCAGAACAGAGTAACGCATGGCCTCATAGATCTGTTGTGGGTACTGAATTTGAATGGCTTCGTCAAGCTTCTGATTAATCTCCGCAATCAGCGTCGTCCAGTACGTTTTGAGATCGAACTGAATCGAAACTGGTGACGAAACAGAAGTAGAAGAAGAGCGAATTGTTCGTCGCGGAATCGTACGGCTCTTTGGAATATAGAGGTGGGAAGATGACGATAGAATTGTGGATAAAGCCATTACTCTTATCTTCCTTGCACTATATCTGTAATTCTGTGTGATGTGTGTTTGAGTAACTAGGACAACTGAAATTGGGTTTGAAGGATTTAATGGCAGAAAAATGCAAATTTATGTTAGTGGGATACAGGAAGAGGAGACGCTGAGACTGAGAGCATAATGATACGGTGATGGGTAATCAACTTTCAATATATTTTGAGATGACCCTTTCGTTATTACTGGTCACTCGGTTGTTTTCTCGTTGTCATGACTTTAGTATTTTATTTTTGACTAGTTGTAAAATCAGAAGCAAACAAAAAACACAATAGTTGGCTGACGAAATCATTCCAAGTAGTATTTATTATGAAATTAAATTAAACTAAACTCCAAAGGCCGAAGCCAGCACTTGGCTTGGTGAAATTTTTTAGTGAACATATAAAAACTGGTATAACTTATTTCTTCAATTTACTTTCCCTTTTAATTTTACATACATTCCTATTACAACAACAACAACATCATAAGATCTTTCACATCACAACAAGAAGAGATGGAGACACGCCTCGCCAGCCCAATGAACGTGTGTAGACCGCCAACCGTTACATGTTTGATTGGTAATCCGTGTTACATGTTGATTGGACATCTACATTTTCTTTGCCTTGTTAACGTGCATCAGATCAAGACAAAAAGTGGTGGAATTGGGTTTGGTTTTGGAGGCAGGCACTATCAGGAAACGTGTCCATGAGCTGTTCCATCATCATTAAATTTAAGTTGGGGCTCAGATGCCGCCTTGTACCATGCAAATTGGAACACGCAATGAACTTGTGGATGGGGTTAAAGTTTGAATTCTAGACTTCCACACAATGAGTTAAGCATGAGCATGTTGGTTTTGGTGTTCATACGTTGTGCCAACGTTATTAATTACATAGGGTGCTTTGTGAGTTTTCATGTGCAAACAACACAAACAGTACTATGTGAATGTTTTGGCTACACGAATAGTCTTTATTGGTTGTTAAACACAACAGTCGCGAAAGCAAAAGAGTTGCGTATTGTGCCGAACCTATTTTACTGGTTGTGTTCTGTCCAGAGTTTGAAGAATGATGGAGAAAAACAAGTGTAAATGCAAATTTAAACCTCTTGTATGCATTGTAGTAAGAGCTTTGGAAATTGGTGACAATTTTAAATATATGTTTTAGCTCTAACTACATTGGATAATCGTAAGACAGTGTGAAATTTAATAATATTGATTAATATGTATCATGAATCTACAATAACAAATTTTTGGACCATATTTTTGTACAAGGTGTTCAACAATTAATAGTGACACAAAATTAGAATTAGAAACTAGAAAAGGTACTAATGTGTAATTTTATTGGCCTTTAATTATTTACATCCATTATTTCTCTTACTTATTTCTTATATGGGGCGCATTATCTCGTGTTACATACCAGCTTTGCAAAACTTATTTCGTAGGAGTCAAATTCTGAGTATAATTCCTTAAAAAACTAGAGCATGTTGTTTTTGCAATGAACACACGGTGCTCGATAGTAAACACATGAAAGAATAGTTACGCAGCTATATGTACTTCTCACTCCCTCATGAGTAGCTGGGGTGGTGGTTTGTTCCTTCTATCATTTACCTAATGTGGAACTAAGTCACAAACACTTGAAAGCCGAATCCAAGAGCCTCTATCTGGCTGGAATAGGTAATCTTGCCCAAGAGCCTTATCCTCCGTTTCGTTTGGTACGATGAAAAAATTGAAAGATGAAAAGTTGAAAAAATTAAAAGTTAGAAGAATAAATAAAACATCATGTTTGATCAGAAAGAAAAATATGAAGGATGAAAAAATTGATGAATGAACTTTTCTTTCTAACTCACTAAAATTAATTCCTCTAAAATTAAAAAAAAAAATAGATGAAAAGTTAATTATTTGTGTTGAATTGTATTTTATTTATCTATATATTCTCTGATATATACCTATATTATACATACATTAATTTCATATATAAATACAATGATAAAATATGTACCTATATTATATATACATTAAATAGTGATATCCCGTGACTGAAGTCACTGAATATTAAACTATGACACTATGCGTGTATTAGAGAGTGTGTGTACAACTGGAGTATATATATAATGTGTGATTGTGTATTGGAATATGTGTAACTATGTGTTGTGGAGTATTTGTGTTGAGTTTGTGAAATTTAGGAGGGAAAGTATGTGATGGGTGTGTGAAATTTGGGCGAAAAAATATACCCCCCATAAGTTCAAACACCTAACTATCTTATTATATATATTTCATATATAAATATATTGATAAATTATGTATTTATACTTTTTTTTAAAAAAATTAAAATTAAAAAATAAAAAATATTTTTTTCATCTTACCAAGCATTAAAAAAATTTAACTATTTTTATTTTCCATTCATCCTACCAAACATAAAAGAAATAAAGTAAATTATTCTCACTTTTCTTTCTTAGAGGATAAAAGTGTATCATTTCTATTTTTCATCATTCTTACCAAAAGGAGCATTAAAAAATTTATGTTTGACTTTGTTTTAGAGTCCTAGCCTTGGATGTTTTGGGAAGGTTTAGGAATTGGGCCAACCGATGATCTTAAAAACAAACATCCCCCGCTCACTCTTCCCCTATGGACAAATATATATATGTATGATTTTTTGGAGACCAATCCACAGTTGTGGACTATTGAGAAAATGTACTTAGTTTAAATTTTCACACACACACACACACATATATGTATGTATGTATATATGCATGGATGAATTCTTGCAATAAGTTAAGATAACGACCTGTTGAATGATCCTGAGTGATGAACCTGAAACAACCAAAGGATTAGAAAAGGGGTTAGATGTGTACCCAACTAATCTCTTTTGAAACTTAAGTCAGTCGGCATTATAGTCACAATGCATAGTGTATTCTTCATTTGAGATTGCGTATATTAGTTCGAATTTTCGAAGGATATTTATACTTGAGTTTGCTATGATGGTCCTATCCTTGAGTTTCATCTTAGAGTTTAATAGTATGTGCTCATCTTCCAATATAATGAAAGTCATCCTATCAAGTCTCATTAAGACTAGTCCTCCTGAGCAATTGAACCCTCACTCGGGAATCGTCGAGCATTCATGGGCCAATCCTTGGTCATTAACTACTTAATATCGGCGCTTGAAATCTACGCTTGAGCTTTCATGAGTAGGAATATACAGTCCTCGGACTGCCTCGAGGTCTTTACGTCGACATGATGGTTATTAATGCTTCTTAATGATAACTGTCTCCACATTCTTTGAGAATTTGGACATTCATTAATGGCTCTCTCAAGCCACTCAAGACCCACATTAATGAGTCGTTAAATCTTATTTAATGCTAGGTTCCGAGGGGTGTACTCAGCCCCATCTGATATAACTCCTCGACACCTCTTTCAAGCGTGTTTTGCACCTTCTGATGACTGTAATTACCCACATGTCTGCTTTTTATTGGTAAGCCGTCTAATGTCCGATCAATATCAATAATTACTACCCCTAAAGGCCTGGACTTTTCATTGGGCTTTCCTTCTGTTTGTTATGAGTCCTTATTAGCTTGATTTGTTTTCTACTAATACTGCCATAAACTCCATCAGACTTCAATACAAAATAAATAAACTCATTAAACGGTTATCAATATCTCTCTCAAAATGATTCACATTGAATTTTACTTTATTCTTCTCACTTATACTCTCTTCTCACTTATACTCTCTTTCTTTCTTTGGGCTCTTAGCTCCTCACTTCTCCAAATTAACTAATTGGTTTATATTGCACTATGTTTTCAAGCACAAGTTACCTCTAATTAAAGACGTAATAGAATAGTGAAGAGACATCACCCGTGGTATGTTGGACTAGGTACTGTTTGGCCTACGATTTGTAAAATATTGCTGACTGATGGTTCTGTTTGGATTCATAACTTCCCTAAATCTCCGGCCAAACTGGTTGTGACCTGTATTAATTTGGCTTCTCTCCAACTGCCAATAGATGTTATTATTTTTGTAGTCAGCAAGCTATGTTGCAGTTGCAGTTCCAGAACCCAAGTTGCAAATTGCACCTTGTAAAGCTAAACATTCTTGGTGACTGATATCGAACTAGTATAATGAGTGGATGGCAAAAAGAAACAACATTAACGAGTGAAATAGAACATGAAATTGTAACTTCCCAAGACAAATCCTACCACTAAATGCAAGAGTAATGAAATCCAGAAGAGAGAAATGTAATGCAAGTCAGGGATAAGCCTCGATAACGGATTGAACCGCTTGAATGTGCTTCACAGAGAGTCGGGTGAACCCAGCCTCCTTCAAAACATGTGCCCATTCCTTCAAAGTCCTCTCTTTCCCTTTGTTTGTATGAGCCAACATCACCATATCCAGCATCAACCTCACATCCTTAAGCTTGTCTCCTTCCTCTTCTTCAATCACGGCCTCTACTATAATTACCTTCCCCGTGTTCGATGGGACAGCTTCTCTGCATTTCCTCAGGATATGAATGCATTCATCATCTCCCCAGTCATGCAGTACCCACTACAATTCACACAGATGCATAGATTAGATAAAAGATTTGTCATTTAATTACTAAGGTTTGGACCTCCCATAACGTTTGTTGATAATATTTCAGCTAATTTACGAGCGCGTGTGTATCAAACGTAATACAAATAGGGGTGTTAATGAGTAAAGTTTGTGAAGACTCAAGTTCGGGTTGATTATGACTGGCCGAGTTCCACTGTTAAGCCTAAATTCCTGCTCAAGCTCAGGTGGATGGAAGTTCACAAGCATTCAAAAGACAACCGAACACAATTACTTAGCAAAAAGATTCAAAAATTAAACTCTAAAACGTAATAGCTAAACCAGAAAAATCAGTTTATCTTTAAAACCTGGTGCTATTAGGAATAAGTTTTGGTTTATTCATCTCTCAAATAAGGATTGTTTGATTATTGAAATTAGCATTGTTTATCTACTGGAGCCGAGAGACATGTAGCTCAAATTTGGTTCGTTGAAAACAAGCTTATAAATTTTATCAGATCCAGCTCATTTTCAACGAAAACAATCATGAACGAGCCAAAAACTAACCAACCTCAAAACGATCTTTGGCTACTGGGATCGTTTAGAGCCAGATATACAATAGTTGAAGTGATCGCTTTCTCTCCATTTCAGCTAGAACGATGATGCTATGCATCCTTAGATCTTGTTTTATTATTTTTTCTAGTCCAGCTTAAATATACTAACCTTGAGGAATGCAGCATCGGCCTTTGGAACACTGTCAAACATGTTGCCTCCAACATGCTCAACACCATCGCAAGGCATAGCAACAGACACAACATGAGGGAGATCAAAATTGATCCCTCGAATCCAAGGACAGGCCTTCACCAGAATGCCAAGAGTTGTTCCGTCACCCCCGCCAACGTCCACCAACGAGCCAAGCCCCTCCAATACCTCTGGACAACCATAAATTATCGTAGGCACCGCCACCCGAGCATCACAAGCCATTGCATCATTGATGAGCTTACTATGGGCCGGGTTTGTCATCGCGTAACTCCACACATCCTCCCCGTGGGCAGCCTCAAATGGTGAAGTTCCGGTGGCTAAAACACGGGTTCTTAGGTTATGCCACGGTGCAAGCATCACAGGGCTGCTCTCTAGCAGCAACAATGGAGCCATGCTTTTTTCTCCATGTTTCATTAGAAGGCGAGAGAGTGGTGTCTGAACATAACCAACGGAACATTGGCCTGTTGAATTCTCTTTGAAAATGCCGCGATGAATCAAGAACCTCATGATGCGGTGGAGGGATGATGGGGAACATCCAAGTGTTGAAGATAGTTGAGGGAGAGGCATAGGGGCTTCATGGGTTTCCAGGACATCAGCTATCCCAAGCTCAATGGCACACTTCACAACTGCCATTTCAGTGAACCCAAACACATATTTCCAAATATCCACTTGGGCTTGTGCGTCTTCTTCCTTTCCACTTGTTGCTTGTCTTTCTGTTCCCCCTTCCATCTGTGTGTGTGAAAATCAAGTGAATCTTTAGCTTATCTTTTATATTACAGTAACGTTACATTGATCAAATTTTAGGATTAAATTTAAAATCTAAATGACGTGATAATTGATTATTTAAAATTTTTATTGGAGCTTAAATGACATGACATCAATCAAAGAAGTTCAAATCAACTGTCACGTCATTTGAACTTTAAATTTGATTCCAAAATTTGATCAATCTAGTATTACTGATCTTTTATAAGCTTTGCATGCCCCGTTAAAGTATCAATTATGTAAGAAGCAATCAGTGCGACCAAGAAAAGTGGATCCTGCAAGTGGGAGTTAAAAATTGTGAAATTGGCGAATGACATTTTCTCTTTCTGGTCCAACTATCAACAACTGTCCAGCAATTAGACAGGAGTTTGTTTTTTATTTTAATTTTAATCTTCTTGACCCAATAGATAGTGCCTTCTCTGTCATGTGGCAACCCAACCCGGTATCATAATAATTGATTAATCATTCACTTCTAAATTAGCCATATCTCACCGGATACCAATAAAATCCATACCATTGGTGACACTCAATGGAATTAACAATAAATTTTTGAATTTGACAGAATTTGGAAAAACTGAGATGATCCAGATCCACTAAAAACAGCCATGCCATTGGAAGGCCTGATTTAGTCTAGATACAAATAGATATGGCTGTCGTCTTCAATATGTTCAGCGGATATGTTGTTCAGATTATATATAGATGTGATGTTCTATGTAGCTTCAGAAGAATAAATTACGTGTTTCTACATAATCTGGTCCATCAAAATGCCAAAAACCAAACCATTTCAAAGTGCATTGGGAAGAGAAGCACAACACAACTGCCACAAAATTGAGCTAGGTTGATGGAGGAGACAAGCACTTCACTAAAACTATCATGTTGTTAAGATAAATGTGGAGTGCTTAAATGATTGTAAGAAAGCAATAGAAGAAGGTGTAGGACCAAGGATATTAAACCCCGAATCCTTAAGTGAAGCACGTATTGACATAAAAGATGGTTTAATCATGTACAAGCACCAATAAACAAACAGTAATTCATGCAGAAGCTTTAGCAAGGTTGGAAGATCCACCACATGGTAAACCCAAGTTTTGTTTAAGTCCCTAATATTACATATTAGTTCTTTACAATTATTACGGAAAACTTCCAGAACAAAAATGAGCCATTTTCATTTTCCGTTACATTAGATTCATGAGCACTAAACACGGTATGGATTAGCTTTATGTATACAGGCATGTCCCTGGTTAAGCCATACTATTTTTACAAGAGGACTCTAGCTTTTCCGCTTCACTCAAAAGCGAGGAATTCCCCTCACAAGCCTCTTTCAATAACTTGAATCTTTCTTCTAATTGGGACATCTGCAGTGACAAAACTTCCTCTTGTCCAGACTTCTGAAATGTGGGGTCCATCTTGTATCGGATAAGATCCACCATCATGCACTGTCACATACAGAAATGAACAAGCATATGCCTTAATTAGATGCTGCTTTTTAGAAACAAGAGGGAAAAGGGGAAGGCTTTTTCATGCATGAGGAGGAAAGTCGATGACATAATATGCTACAATACATTATTATTATCATGGATATCAACTAAGTACCTATCTGCTGTTAAATTACGTGAAGCAGTATTACAAGGTAGCTCTGCCAACAGCCCAGCCGATGTCACGAATGACACTAGCAGGTTTTGAATAATCAAAAAGAACACTTTGATGGCTACATAATATTAATGCATGATTCATTTTCACAAACGTTAATGCAACCATTTCCACAAATAAAAGGACTCATTATTGCTTGTACCTTCTAATTCACATAGATGGAAGCAATATGCCATCAAAGAAAATTTTTAGACTTACTCATTTGACAAGTAACACAAAGCTCAAGTTTTTTTACCTTGTGTTGCTGCTTACAAGAGTAATCTCGCAGGAGGGATTTGGCAAGCTTATTTCGCAGCAATATTTTATCACTGGTGTAATTGCCAAAAATAAAAGATGACATGTGGTGCAGAACCAATGTGTATGCGACTGATCCTCGAGTTGCTGCTTTGTCAAGAGCACCACAAACCCACGATTTCGCATAAGCTTCCAAAACCCTCTCATCATCCTGCACGGAAACAGAATCTTCATTACGTCATATTCCAGTAAAGAAAAATTGTAGCCTTTAGAATATCCATGAATTACAGCGCATTAAACTCTTTTACTGTCCTCAATCTAACATATATGTTTTATACACACGACATATATATGTATCCAAAAGGATAAAAATGGAAACCCCATTATTCCGTTGATGCCCATATTGCACTTGGGGTTCCATACGCAAAGTGCAATGCAAGATTATGAGGCTTTCAAAATTGTGGCAACAAAAAATAGTTGGTCCGCAGTACCTCAACAGGTTCAAGGTACCCTTCAACCTTGCCAATGCATTTGTCTAAAGGAGGCAAAAGTTCAAGAGCACGAGCATTAAATAAAGCATTCCAAGCGGATAGTCGTACAGAAGATTCGACGCAGGGTTGTAGATAGATTGCAACTTGCCGTCCATATATCATGTCACCATAAGATACTGCAGCAAACTGTTCCACAAGAGTTTCCATAAATGTGGAGTAACTCTCATGTATCTCTGATTGAAAATTCAGGAACTCCACTCTATATTTTTCTCCAGTTTCTGGAAACCTTGAGTTATCAAGAATCTGCCCATAGACCTCTTGCAGTGTTTCAAGTACATCCCTACTCTTCTCCTCTTGAAGCACTCCCATTCCACCAAGGAAAATTACAGATAAAGCATGCAATTTCCAAATCACTGGTACCCTCTGAACGGAGGAGTGGAACTCAGAAGGAAAGAAAGTAGAAATTGTTTCAATGCCTAAAAGAAAGAACAGCCCAGCTTTAGCAACTTCCTGAAAATCAGAAGGGTTGATGGTTGAGATTGGGCTGAGAAACCAATGTGGGGGCAGCGGCAGTCTCTGATGAGCCCACTCCACCACCAAAGAAGTTGAACAATGCCCTTGATTGGTCATAGTTGAGACTTCCACGTCCTCTTGAATGGTGTCCAGGGAAACACTGCCATTTAAAGTTTTGTGGTCGACACACCAATTCTTACCCTCAGCTTTGACCTTCTTCTTTACAGAGAGCCACCTATTTCTGAAATGTGAAGCTAAAACAGTGCAAAAGTGGAGGTAGTCCTCTTCTTTATATTCCCATTCAAATAACTTGAATCCTGCATTAAGATGGAGAAAACGACGAATAGAAATATCCAGATACTTTAGAACAGGGACTTGGTTCAAGATATCCAACACCTTATCCATTATAAATTTCTCCCTTGGTCCCACAATTAAACATACTTCCAAAGCCGAACATATCCTTTCCAGTACAAATCTTATCTCTTCAACAGCAGACAAACCTTTTGCAGGAAAAAACTTACTAACTTCAAGCAAGTGAATGAACAAACTTGCATCCATTTGAGCCAACAAAATAGTTGTGGACCAAAACCCTCCACCGGATGCACCCCAACCCACACCGACCCCTGGAGCAGGGCCACCTCTCCCGAACATCTCAGTGGACTGCACATGCTGCCACTCAGAAGCAATTAAACTCGTGAAAGTAGTGACCACATTTCCCAATTCAGGAATAGAGGACTCGAGTATCCCATTGGAAAGTATTTCATCGTCTGTTGGGATGTGACAATGGGAAGGTGTATGAGTCTGCGTGTTAGCTAGCCGAATCAACTCGTCAACAGAAACAACCACCTGAACTAACCCATGAAGACAACATACAGAAGCTATAGAGGTTTCATGTTCCCTTTGATGTCTCAAATCACACAAATGCTCAAGGAAAGAGGCACCGCCAGCAAAATCCTTACTATGTTCTGTACCATTTACCCCTGAGAAGTTCAAAAATCCATTCTTAATAATTTGAAGTCCAATCTTAGGGACAAAGTCTGGTAGCCATGGCACATGCCCACCATGTAGGGTGGAGATATCCTCAGGGATCACAACTTTGAGCAAACTGGAAAGCATGTGCATGACTGCAGAAAGCACCCATAATATGGAATTTAAAGCTAAATCCTGCACTACAGACTTGCTGTTAATGACTTTTTGCCAGCCAATGAATTTTGATATGTACGGGTCACTATTCAATGCTGTCCACTTTAGAGCTAAATCAACAATCGGTCCGACATGGCCCCAACACCAAGTTTCCTGATCTATACCGGGAACCTCAGCTGTTTGACTTCTCAGATTGATATGTGAATAAAAGTTTGGAAGTCTTCTAGTTAAAGCCTCCAGAACAAGGTATGCTTCCTTGGTGATAGCAGCAAATTCATTAAGGATGTCATATTCAATGAGTTTTTCAAATGAAGGCACATCCAGCCAAATGCCAGCAATAGCTGAGAGCAGGGAATAGATCTGAGAAGTAAGACACACAATGCCCATACTGAATGCAGACCTTCCAAAAACGTAATTGTTCAACCAGCAAAGCTGACGAAAGTTTACAATTTTCCCTTCCCAACTTTACCCAGTGATCAGGGGAGAATGCATATCGGTACAAATGCCATGTCACCTTCTGAAAAATCCCATTATCTACAAACTCCATAAGATTCTTCTTCTCAGACCGAGCCAACGCCTGTTGGATATTAAAAAGGAATATAAAATGTTTACCTTGTGCTAAGTGCAAATATAATTGACCATAGTAAGTAGAAGAAGATTAGAGACACGAATCTAAGATGAAATGTTGAAAGCAAGACAAAGAAAATGCTTACTTTTAAAAGTGTCACTGACTTTATCTTAGAAAGATAAAATTCCATTTGGTCTTTCATAGTAAACCTGTCAACAATTGTTTGAACGAGCCTTTGGCAATTCATGATTGCCTCCGAGCATGTCGGGGAATGCCTTGCTATCGCAATCAGGATAGAAATAATGCTTTCTTCCAAAGCTGCCGAAGGGTCTGTCTGGAGCAAAACCATCAGCAAGTGTAACATTGTGGTGAACATATCAAACAGTACAGAGCATTATTGTGAACATGTCAAATGAGGAAAGTTCAATAGTAAAAAAAATCCCATTTTCCTACAAATTTTGAGCACAAGTCTTGATATCATCAGATTTTTGGTTGCAATTCTTCCAACTAGTGAAAAATTATAAAATATGTAACATGTACCCAAAGAAACAACATAAAAAAACATGCAAGTTTTATGCTTCTTGATGTGAATCCTACATTCAAAGGGATCCAAATTCCATTTTAGAGACTCCCACAAGAATCATCTTACCCACTGAGAGAGATGCAAAGAAGAACAAGTATACCATCTCTTTGCAAAATGTTTAATGGTGTTACCGCTGCCTTGACGAGCCAATAAGGTTGCTCCATTGTGACCTGACTTTGGTATACACAGGTTCGAATCACGTAAATAGCCTCGCATGTGGAATAAGATCGCATGTGGAGCCTCATGCGCTTGACTGTTCTTTTTTCTATAATCTAAGATGCAGTTATTATCAGAACAAAAGGAAAATATACATCCCGATTGAAGGTGCCTGATAGCTTTTAAATAGAATATCTAGGCTGTTGTATTGGAACACAATGCACATCTGCCCTACATCAGTGTTCAAGACTTTTTCTTGGTGTGGGACACCTAAAAGGACACAGCACATAAAATCCTAGACTTTAAGGGTGTGTGCAAAAGGACCAGGCTACAATCTTCTATCTAAGTTTATTGGCAAAGTGCAATATATTTCATTATAGAACACACCAGTTATATTCAGTCAACTCAAACGGTTGCAAACTTTTTACCATTATGTACCTGTAACAGAGGCAGCGAAACAATGTTAACCTCATATGTTGCTTCAGCAAATACAAGATGTAACTAATTCAAAAAAGAAAAACCAAGGCACATGTGCCTACTGAATGCACTTTTGGAACACAAACAAAATTCATCTTCAATATTGAAAGGTCAGACCTAAAATATCTAACTAGGAAGTTCTGCAAAACATAATAGTATCCTTTTCTCAGAATCTCACGGAGCAACAATATTATACATTGTTATCTTCTTGTTCTTCTGTGTTCTTTTATTTATTTATACATTGTAAGCTTTTGTAAAAATCAAGAGGGAAAAGTACCAACTTGCCCCTTGGGTATGAACATAAAAATGATGTGAACAGCTTTCAAAGTAAGGGGAATTTTGAGTAGTGGAAGCAGTTAATCAAAACAGAACAATTAGGGAGAGAAAATCAACCATTAGTGAGCTCTAAGAAAATTCAAAGTTGGTAAATAGACAAAAGGGTTTTTAAGTTTCAAATTACACAGTTTTAATAGTTCATGATGTTCAGCAATTCTCAAACTAACACAGAAATCAAAGAAACACCGCCATCAAAATTGTCCTTACCTCCAACAGATAGCAAATTCCTGGAAGAATCCCATCCTAACCAAACCTGCAGCAATATCCTGTCCAGCAACGACAATATCATCCTGAATCGTGTGTTCACCTTCAGCATTGTCATCTGAGGCACCCTCACCAAAAGGAAATATATTGGAGGTTTAGCGTTGTACTTCCAAAAGCCACCTGAAGGAAGGCCAACATCAATCTCCGGTCTACTTCTAATATGGCAGCAGTGCAGACATCTTTCTGATAAGTTGCTATTTTCTGGAAGCACAAGGTAATAAACATGAAACTTAAGAACATTTTGACAGACGCTTAACGAAGAAATCACACAAAAGAATGCAACTCTACCTCTGAGATATCAAAGAAGTGCTCATTAATGTCACAGCCCAATATGCACCTGAATGACTTTGGCACAAGCTAAAACCACAGAATTGTGGTTATTCATCTAGGGACATCCTACATGTGAAACCATTTCCGAATTTACACACAAAAGCAAAGGTGGTAAAGAACTAAAAATGACTGATTGCTGTTGCCTATAAGTATTATGATTATCACATTAATTTGCATATCATTGAGCAATAAATATTGTAATTTTCTGTACAAAATATGAAAGCCACCAGTGAACTGGGACAAGGATGAAATGGTTAGGCATAGTATTTAAGTCTTAAA